GATGCCTAAATCGGGTGGACATCGCCACCTGCTGGTAGTGGTGTGCACCTATTCAGGCTGGGTAGAAGCATGTCCTACTCGTACAGAGAAAGCAGGAGAAGTCGTGAGATTCCTGCTACGAGAAATAATACCCCGATATGGACTACCCTGCTCTATAGGATCGGACAATGGTCCAGCTTTGTTCATCAGTGCCTACAACAATTGACTCATATGCTTGGTATAAAGTGGAGGCTTCATACGGCATATAGACCCCAGAGTTCTGGTAAGGTAGAGAGAATGAATAGAACTATTAAGAATCAGTTGGCTAAAATGTGTCAGGAAACCCAACTTAAGTGGAACGTTCTCTTGCCCATAGCTCTATTGCGAATCCGTAGTACACCTACCAGAAGGATGGGCCCCTCTCCTTTTGAAATCATGTACGGGCGACCACCTCCCGTGCTTGGTAACTTAAGGGGGGATTTGAGTCAGTTGGGAGAAGGAATTACCCGGCAGCAGGTTGTAGAGTTGGGTAAGACTATGGAGGAGGTACAGAAATGGGTACAAGATAGATTACCTGTGAATATTTATCCCCCAATCCATAGTTACCACCCAGGCGACCAAGTGTGGATTAAAGAGTGGAATAATGTGCCGTTAGGGCCCAAGTGGAGAGGTCCTTATGTTGTTCTTCTGTCTACCCCTGCAGCGATAAAAGTAGCCGAAGTGGCTCCGTGGATACATCACTCCAGGGTTAAACCAGCAGCAGCCGATTCCTGGCAAGTTACAGCAAATCCAGAGAATCCCTGCAAGATCCGGTTAAAACGCACGACTCAGTCGGAGGGACGAGGAACCTTGTAGATTACAAATTTTATTGTTTCAGAGACTTGGTAAGTGAGTGAGAAGGCCATAATAAAGCCTGTCCACTCACCAACGAGTGTATAAGTCAGGGAAACTCTTGAGGGGACCCCTGTGAAGACGAGCAGAACTCCATTCCCTGCAGTCCTTACATCCTGGAAGCTGAGGTGCCTTCACACGGACGAAGACTGAGGATGACGACGAAAGATGTATTTTTAATAATGTCTATTTATGTGTATTTTTATATTCAGGAAGGTAGAGGTACCAACACTCCTAGCTGTGAGGTATGCATTAAGACTACAAGAACAGGTAACCATATATCCCAGACCCTAATTTGGCATTCGCAATATGAGTGTAAAGGAGATGCATCAAGATGTAGATACTTAAATATAGAATATAGTGTGTGTCATTTAGGAGTAGGAGAACCTAAGTGCTTCAGTCCTGAGTATCAACCCCGTACAATTTGGTTGACTCTCAGAAATGGAGATCCTCAGGGGACCCTAATTAATAAGACGGTATTAAAATCAGTATATTCTTCAGGTGCTCTGCTATTTGATGCGTGTAAAGCAATATCAAGTGGTAGAAAGCCGTGGAATGTATGTGGGGATCTTAGATGGGAGAGGACGTATGGGTCTAACGATAAATATATTTGTCCCAGTAGTAAAAAATAAATATGTAAGTCCAAGATGCCCAAATAGAGATTATAACTTCTGCCCATATTGGTCTTGTGTGGGGTGGGCGATTTGGGGACAGACAGCAGACAAGGACATGATTGTGACTAAGTTGCCTACTGATCCATATTGTAAGTCTATGGAATGCAATCCAATCCATATACTTATAAATAACCCTGACAAGTTCTTAGATAAATATGGTAATTTATTTGGGTTTCAAATATATGGGACGGGTTTAGACCCTGGGACAATATTGTTTATAGGGATAGAGACTGATACGGTAACCTCCCAAACTCATCAAGTATATCATTCCTTTTATGAAGAGATGAGCATAGATAATAAGATCCCCCATAATGCTAAAAACTTGTTCATTGATTTAGCAGAGAGTATTGCCGGTAGTCTTAATGTTACCAACTGCTATGTGTGTGGAGGTACTAACATGGGAGACCAATGGCCTTGGGAAGCAAAGGAGGTAATGTCCGGTTCTGAGGCAGTTGACCAATTAATATCTACACAAGCCGACTATCGTATGAGTGTTAGAGGTAAATCTGAGTGGAGATTGAAGACCTCCATCATAGGTTATGTTTGTATAGCGAGGAAAGGAATGATGTATAATACTTCTGTAGGAGAATTAACTTGTCTAGGGCAAAAAGCTTATGATGATGATACAAAGAATACAACTTGGTGGTCGGCTTCAAATGTCTCAGAACCATCTAACCCGCTTGCAAGATATGCCAATTTAAAGGACGTATGGTTTGATCTATCCATCACATCTAACTGGAGAGCCCCAGCGAATTTGTACTGGATCTGTGGTAAGAAGGCCTATTCGGAGTTACCACAGGACTGGGAAGGGGCATGTGTGTTGGGTATGTTAAAACCATCCTTCTTCTTGTTGCCTATTGAAACAGGTGAGACTTTAGGTGTTAAAGTGTATGATGTGAATCATAGGAAGAAAAGGGGACCCATAGAGATAGGTGCCTGGGAAGATAATGAATGGCCTCCCCAGCGTATTATAGATTATTATGGGCCAGCCACGTGGGCAGAGGATGGTACCTTTGGTTATAGAACCCCTATTTATATGCTCAACCGCATTATAAGGTTACAGGCGGTGGTTGAGATCATTACTAACGAGACATCACAAGCGCTCAATCTTCTAGCGAAGCATAATACCAGGATGAGGACAGCAGTTTACCAAAATAGATTAGCCTTGGATTATCTTTTGGCAGTAGAGGGAGGTGTATGTGGGAAGTTTAACCTGAGCAATTGCTGTCTTCAAATAGATGACGAAGGGCAAGCAATGGCTGAGCTTACTAGCCATATGGTTAAACTAGCGCATGTGCCTACTCAGGTATGGAAAGGGTACAATCCAAGTAGTTGGTTTGGTAGCTGGTATGAGTGGTTTGGAGGGCTTAAGGCAGTGGTAGGTGGAGTCCTACTGATTTTAATGTTGTGTCTACTCCTGCCGTGTCTTATACCCTTAGTAGTTAGGTCTGTGCAAAGCCTGATAGAAAATATAGCAGAGAGGAAGGCTGCTGCACAGATAATGGCAATTTATAAATATAAGGCTCTAGATCAGGGAGAACCAATGCAGGAAGACGAGTGTTGAAGATTCATATCATAGGATAAGTCTGGTCTGGTTCAAAGGTAACTTGTGGTGTATGCAAACCAAGGTTAAGTGATGCCTCAAGTAATTGTAAAATATCAAGAGGCATCAAAGGGGGGAATGTGGTGGAATCTCGGTAAAAATAAATTTAGTAGGCCGAGATTACCACGTGGCATGTGTACGTGCATATGCTGACGTATCGATCAGTTGGTTGCACGAGGCAAGATACGATCAGTAGTGTACGGAGCATGTGCAAGAATACAGGATGTAGTATTCCCCTCCTCCATTGTGCTGGACAAGCCATGCGGTCAAGCAGGAAGTTAATTCTTATTTGTAATGATTGGTCAAGAGAATGTGCGGGTGGAGCTTAATATGGGAGGAGTTATGTGCCTATATAGGGAGCCTGCACTATTGTTCAGGGCTCAGAACTTGCTGTATTTTTGGTGACATTAGTCCCTCTGAGTCCCGATCGGTGATCCAATAAAGAATCTCTTCCTTCCTGAAGAAACCTGTGTCCATCCCTCTGTGCTTTGCTTCCGTCAGTTTCTCCGGTATCAAAAGGGCACTAGGTTGTAACTTCTCGCCTTTGACATCTTCGCCTCTTGTAAAGCAATAAATTGAATATTTAAAACATTTCTTTTTTTTTTTTACACGTATATATGGGATGTTCCTTTTATTATTCTACATCCCACGGTTACTGAGTCAGTATTTTTCAAGACCTCCCCTATGCCATCAGCAAACACATCGACATACATGGATCTGGCCTTTCTCATAAGTTTCCATTTAAAACATTTTGAGATGTTTCTAATTGTTTATCATCATTTTGTTTTACATTATTTCTCTATTATTTTACAGAACAGAACATACATTTTCTAATGCAATGTTTGTTTTGTTCAAAGGGAATTTGTATTACCATGTTTATTTTAAACGTGTTTGTCATAAGATTTCAACTTCTATAAATGAGGAGAACATTGATTATTTCATTAAGTGGTGCAAGTTATGAAGAAAAATACAATGATAATACAATATGGAACTTATGGAATATGGAAAGTAGAGTCAGGTATGGTGCAAAAAATGCTTTGTTTTCTATGGATATAGTAAAGATCTTAGCAACAAAGTCATAATGAATATGGGTTATGCTGCTTAGAGTGAGACTATGGGCACCTTGCCCGTTCTTTTCGAGTGAGACTTAACAAAAACTGCATCTCTCTAGTTCCCTTCAGGACAAGATGTGTTCAATTTAGCCACATTCATAATGCAGAATTTACACATTAGCAATAGAAAATTGAGTGGTAGAATGCAAGCAGTAGGTGTGACACCTCCATGTGGGTCAACTATTTATTGACTTCCTCGATGGTCATGTACTTTGGTGGTGAAGAAGCTCACGTCACTACGTTCACTTCCACGGGGCTAGCTTTGCAGGATTATGCTAGCTATCCACAGGTTAGTACTCAGTGGGGATTGCATGACACACACGCAATAGAGCACCTTACAAACCAAATGGATAAATTAAGTACGACTTTTCAATAGGGAGAGGGGTGTTCTAGATGGCATTCGCTTTGTGCCTTCTCTGCATTGTAATCTGACTGACTGAAATCACCAGGCAGAAAATCAGAATACATCTTTCATTTAAATTGGGTCTGTTTTATCCCGTCTTTCATTGAAGCTTTTCAATAAAACGTTTTTTTGAGAAACAAAATGCGTAGCAGGCAAATACTATAACATACTGAAATATTTTCATTAAAAAAAATTAAATAAAAATATCAGGGTTACAAAGCATCACACAGCCTTATGAAACAAACCAATGGCTGAATACAAATAGCTTTGAGTAATGTGATTTTGTTTGTAATATTTATTTAATTTTCCCTCATTGAAAGTGTTATTATGTTAGTTGAGCAACCAGCATGGTTATTCATGAAACTGGAATATTCGCAAATTAAATCAGAATGGCAAAACTGAGGGTGGGAAATTGGCAAACTGCGATTATGGCTTAGTTGTATTACTTAATTTTTCTAGATCAGTTAACGGCTACCCCTCTACAGGCCCAGACTGGCTATCGGGCAAATGTCCGGAGGGCCGCGATGGTCATGGGCCGAGCCGGCAGGGAAAAGTCAGAGGATCTCCCCTGCCGGGCCATGCAGGGCTGGCCCTGCTGTGTGCCTGAACCAGCCCAAAGGCATTTTCCTGCGGTTTCCGGCGAGGGAGGAAAAAGTGAGAGGAGGACCCGGGAGCACCAGCTAACAGCACAGACGAGTTCATCCTCTCGCGAGGGTGAAACGTTGCCAAGGTTACTATGGCAATGCTCCGATCTCGTGAGAGTAAACCCTAGCCCCATTAGCTGCAGGCTACAGTTCACTCACCACTAGGACCGCAGCAAGGTCCCCCTTGCCTTGCCTTGTCAAAAGGGCTCTCTAAGCGCTTAATCTTATTGAAGTGGTTATAGTAACTGAAGTACCGTGACACTATAATTCCACGATTAATTTGTTTTTAAATGGTTTAAACCTAAATGGAGGGACATAGAGGCTCCAAAGATCATATTCACTTCATGACACACACACACAATACACTTACTTTTATATGCTTCCTATAAGAAATTATTACCAGCAGCTATAAAATGTATACGCTGTGTACACAATAGTTCAGGATTTTGTAGCATTAATATATTTGAGCACATATTTATATATTACACAACCAGAAAGGTAAAGAAAAGACAATGGTCACAGTAAGATTAACTCCTACAGTGCCAGCTTCAATGCTTGGTTATACCTCTTGGTACGAATGCAATAAAAAGGTTTGTAAACGGTTGTGGTCATGCTTACATTTCACCAGTTCACTGAAAATGCTAGGATTCGGACAAATCCTGACATACCTGGCTTTTAAATCTTGTTCAGACGTGTTCTGTTTGAAGAATGAGGAAGTTTGGTTGGTTGGCTGGTTATTTACAAATTAAACTTGAAGGAGAAAAAAAAAAAAAGAGAGCAATAAATGTTATGGTTTATTTACTAAATCCCTCTTACCAAGTGCTTAAAGGAACACTATAGGCACTGATCACTTTATCTCTATTAAGTGGTTTGTGTGCAGTGTCCCTGACCCCTTAAAGGAGCACTATAGTGCCAGGAAAACAGGGTCATTAGGTGCCCCCCTGCCGCTGGGCTGAAGGGGTTAAAACTCCTTCAGCCACTTACCTTTCTCCAGCGCCGGGCTCCCTCGGCGCTGGTGACCTCTCCTCCCCCTGCCAACATCAGATCCGAATGCGCATGCGCAGCAAAAGCATTCAAACCGCCCAAAGGAAAGCATTACTCAATGCTTTCCTGTGGACGTCCAGAGTCTTCTCACTGTGATTTTCAGAGTGATAATCGCAGAAGCACCTCTAGCGGCTGTCAGTGAGACAGCCACTAGAGGCTGTATTAACCCTCAGTGAAACATAGCAGTTTTTCTGAAACTGCTATGTTTTCAGTTGCAGGGTTAAAACTAGAGGGACTTGGCACCCAGACCACTTTATTGAGCTGAAGTGGTCTGGGTACCTATAGTGGTCCTTTAATCCAGCAATGTAAAACATTACAGGTTTTGGGCAATTACTCCTCTAGTAGATGTCAGTATGACAACCACTAGAGGCACTTCTGCCGCACTGATTTAGCCAAACCTGGTCACATGACTTGGAAGCCCCCCAGGAAGCATTAATGCACGTTAGGTCCTTTATGAGGAGCATTGGATTTTACCATCGTGAAGGAGGCCAAACAGCACCAGGGGAGCCTGGGCACTGAAAAAAATAAAAAAAATTAAATAAAAAAAACCACTAAGTAAAACTTCATTTTTTTTAAAAAAAAAAACATTTTTTTTACACCTTGGGGGACATGCTTATAAGTTGGAACAGTGTAGCGTTAGGAACACAGATTTGCATTCTTAACACTATAGTGTTCCTTTAGAGTAGGCTTCCCCAAACTCCATCCCTCCAGATGTTGCTGAACTACAACTCCCATGATTCTATGAATGCAATAGACAGGCTGAGAATCATGGGAGTTGTAGTTCAGCAACATCTGGAGGGCCAGAGTTTGGGAAAGCCTGTTTTAGAGGGTAGCCAT